GGATTTATAGCTTGATTAGAGTATTTAGACTTGGTATTTACGACACACACACACTTTATAGAAAAAGTTTTGATCACTACTTGGAGGGACGTATGTATCTTGATTTAATTGAGTAGACTACCACTACTTGGAGCGACGTGTGTATCTTGTTTTGAGCATGAAAACTGGTTATTACACACTCTGTAAACTAGATCGTCTTTGACTTAGCTGGGAATACACTTTTATCTCTTTGCATTGATGAATGTAGTTTGTCCCCGGTGATGTTGTAACTTTTAGCCAATAGCCGTAAATTCTGAAGAGCGATAGGAAAAATACATTGAAATGAAGCTCCTGCAAATTAGGGGCCACATTGTTTTACTTCATTGCACTATGCAATTTACGGGTTTTTTGCCTCTACCTGCTTGAGTGCCGTCTTTCGAACGCTTTGTTAAAGAAATTGTTTATGATGTAAACAAAGTGCAGCCTTATACTTTTGTTTTTTTGCCATAAGTAAAATATCTCCTGCTGAAATATTTTTTTGCAACAATTCAGACTTCGCGAGAGATTGCAAGCTCTTCAAATCTTTCTGACTTAATGTTTGCTTCAGTAGACTCATTTACTTCTTGAACAATGCGTTCCTGTAAACGCAAACTTCAGTAACAACAGCACCCAAAGCAAAAAAGTAAAAGCAGGTTCAGTTAGAAACTACCTGCAGAGTTTTTGTCAATTACTTGTTTTAGGACGCTCGGTACTTCCTCATACTGTATAAGATGCCTTATGGCCCCGTTTACACTGCTTTGACGTGGCCTGTGTAACAGGGCACTAGTACGAGGGACTGAGCGGGTCTTTGCTGTTGAAGTCGGGCAGCTGCAACCCGGCGCGGAACACGGGCAGCTCGTTCGTGAGGAAGCGGAGACGACGCCAGTTCACGGGACCAGCGGTGAATGTGACCGGCAGAGGCTCGCGTGACAGGAAGAGCCACGGTACGGTACAGTCTGTACCCACAGCTGCAGTGGGATACGACACCTACCGTTACTGTCGAAGGGCGATGAGTGTGCGATCGTGGGCCCTAGCAAAGCAATAAACGAAAGGACGAGGTATGTTTGGCTTTCTCTTGATATTCTGATCGGTCGTGCGTGTTGTAGTCTTTGCTCCAGTATATGTACCTGAGTTGCCACTAGTTGTGATTCCCCTTGAAATTTATTGTCTATACTCTGTATCATCCACTTCCATTGGGGTTGTATGATCTTCTGTCACCTCCTGGTCATGCTCCTGTTCGTGTGGTGTAATTTGAAGCCAGCTATAATGTAACGCCTGGTATGATATGATGATCGGTCCTTGGTTACTATCATTGCTTTGGTTGAGTTCCTGTTGAATACTTTCGATCCATCCTGCCGCTGCTCCTGTGCTGTTTTTTTTTTCTTTGACCGTTCGACCCCTCCACTGTCCGTTCTGCCGGATAAAAAATCTGATAACTTGCTTTTTTTAGGCCTCCCGGTGCCACCACTACGTAAATCGTTCGATTCAGAATTTTTGCTAGCATTCTTAGGGTCATCTCCGATCCCCAGTATCTGTGGTCCACGTAATATGCTTGTTTAGAAGAAGTTTGACCAAGTATTCTTTGAGTGCTTTGCCTGATTGCTGTGGTGTGAGTTTTCCGTTGTCGTCATCAAGTGTCGTCAAAATAGCCTCCCTGGTGTCATGCGGGAATTCCAGCTCAAAGAAATGATTTGCCGCTGCTACTATCTCTTTTTTCAGCTTGGTTGTCAGGCTTTCAATCGCTTTACTGTTTTCTATTGTGTCAAAACTCTGTTGTAGTGTGCCATTGCTACTGCGTAGTATTGACAGTTTCCAGTTGCTGGTGTTGCTATTTCCTTGAGCCCTGTCCGCTGTAGCACTTGTTTCCCGGTCCATCCTTCTGTTTCCTGTGGCTGAACATGTAAACAATCTGCATCGTGCTCGAAATCTGGGCTCTTTGCTTTCACCTTGATTTGTTTGGCTACCAACCTCTGTATCTTCTCCATTAATTGAGTTTTCTCCCGTAGTCTGACCTTCAATTCATGTTCCTGATTTTTTTCTTCTTTGTTTCTGTTTTTTTGGCTGTAGATTCTGTTTTTTCTTCTCCGTTTTGTTGGGCTTGTGTTCTCCCTTCCTGTAGCTGGCTTCTCTGGTGCCGGCTCGTATTTCCTTTTCCTACAATATTCCATTCGTCTCTAGTTGTTTTGCTTGTGCTTCTGGCCAATTTTTTCTGGTGGTTCAATCTGCTTTGTGCTCTTCCTTTGCAAGATTATCTTCGGTGTCTCTCTTTGCTGTCTTATTTTTTTTCCTGGTGGCTTTCTTCTTGTTTCGCATGAACCCAGTACTTTTCCAATTCCCCCAAGCTAGTTACCGTATATTTCTGTCTAGGTAACGCCGCTATGTCTGCCGCGTTTACTTCGATGCTGTACTGCTTCCTCCAGTCTCCATCGGAGCTGTTACATCCCGCTCGTATGTGCCCATGTCCTCCACAGGCAAAGCAAGGTGATGCTCTGTTCTTGCTGACATGATGCACCAATATTTTTGTTCCTAACCAGCTGATGAACCTTTTACCTTCCAGGAACTGCGGACAATGCGGACTCCTGAAGTAAATATCCCACGTGTATGTCCGAAGTGTTTGGTTATCATCACTTGGTTCTTGCCATGTAATGTAAATTCCGGAAACTTTTTGTTTGATGTTGGCTTCATCCAGGAACCTCTAAATGAACATCAGGCGCACATGATATCGATCTTGAGGCTTTTCATTTCTGATGCCATCCAATCCTATTTGTCTGGCCCACATTTGAGTTGTTCGTTGTGTGTTGTCTTGTGACAGTGGTTCCTCTTCTTCATGCGCGTTCTTGAGTGGAAATTGACGGTTTCTAAAGCTGAGGGTTTTGAATTCCTTGTTCCATTTTATTGCCATCTCTCTTGTCCAGCAGATGATGTGAACTGTGTGGTGCCCTTGGTCATAGCAAATTTGCTTGGCTTCTTGCAGCATCTGTGCTACCCTCTTAGGGTCATTTGCGCTATTCTTGATGCCCATGAAGAACTCATTTGTGAGTTGTTTTCGCGATTGGAAGTTCGGATACACCTTAAATTGTGATGAGGGCATGTGCATTAGATCCCCTTCCACCTGAGCCTTGATCGTGTTCTGAATCAACCTGAGTGCCTCGTTCGTGCATACTCCCTTTAGAAAATCAGGAAACTTAGCCATGCAGAGTATCGTGCCTTCCAGGATGCCTGTCACTACCTTCCATTCTTCTTCGGTTGGCTGTCTCAGTGCGTCTGGAAATCCATAGCGATCTTCGCATAATTTTTTAAGTTGCTCGATCTCGTTTGGTTGATAACTTGATCGAAGGAACCTGAATGTGGAAATCTTCGCTCTACCGTTCATTTCATCATCTTCCATGTTTTTTTCTGAGGGTATCACGAGCTTTTCGAGCCACGGGTTTGTTGTCGCTTTTGGTTTTGCCCTAGCCGCTTGTTTCGTGAACTCAAGTGTTTCCTTCAGACTCTTCCATGATTTATAGATTGCCCGCGTTAGATCGAACATCCGTGCTCTCCATTTGTGTGCATTTGCCGTTTCCTTTTGAATATCCGTCAGAAAAAGTTGCAATATTCGCCGTGTTTCTTCCTCCTCCAGTTCAGGGTAGTGATTGCGGTCCGGTGCCAATGGTTCTGCCGGTCGTGCTAGAAACACGTCCGCGAACATGTCTTGTATAAACTCCACTACGCTCTCGACGTCTTGGGCTTGATCCAATGTCATTCTTTTGATTTCTCCTCGCATGTATTCGTACATTTCTGTAAACAATAATGGTTCTGCTGTGGTTTCATCAAACCGTGGTAATTCGGAGGTGTCCGACATAGCTTCCACTTCTGCTTCCTGTTCCTTGTATTCTGTGTGTTTCTTGGTTGTTAGTGTCGTTCTAGCTTCTGTCTCTGCCTCTTCTCCATCGCTTGGCGTCGTGACATCAATGATCTCTCTGTCCAAGATGGCATTCCTAATGTTCTCCTCCGTTATCGGCCCCTTAGGTCCTCCTCCCGCAGGAGGTTCCTGCTGGCTTTCCATCCGTTCGAGTGCTGCTGGAAGATCGCTGTGCTCCGAATAGAGGTCATTTTAGTTTACCCCAGTGAAAAGTTCGTACTTAGCTGAAATACTCTTTATTTTTAGTAGCTGGTGTCTCTCCGTTGTGGATCACTACGTGTTTTAGTCTTCGGGCGATCGCTTGAGCAGTCGGCCTCTGATTTGGAAGTGTATGAACTATTAATAGGAAGGGGCATTCATAAAAAAAAGCAAAATATATGGAGTGGCTAAAAAAGCCATTTGAAAATACTCACAAACTCACAAATTCAAGAGATGCGAGTTCGCTCACATATCGGTCTAAAACCGGTTTTCCACAGCTGTCATGAATTCAAGATTATTTTGTCTAATTAGATCATGAATTTATGGTAGTTTTACAGAGCAGAATCGCATGAACTGCAGAGCCGCATGAATTCAATGACAGTGCTTTTTCTATTAAAGACTATCAATAACAAGATTCATAACGATGCGCAGATCGACACAAGCTATTGGGCTCACGTCAGGTGGAAGAGCTGCATTCGAGGGGATCGACAAAATTCGGCGCATGTCGAAGGAGACATTGACAGCTGGTTGAGCTGTGGTGCGTCGTCGAAAAGTTCCACTTGCAGTTGGCGCTGGTAGAGTGCCAAGCACGGCGATGTCATAAAGTGCGTATCGCATTTGAATACCTTGACGACTGACTTTCAACAGCAGAATGTACTGGATTCCACTGTAATCGCACCACCATTGAGCAGCTGCTTCCAGACTCGTCCAAGTCTGAGATCTTCCAACCTCCACAGCCAGTGTCGCCCAATTACCAACGGTGCGAAGTGCCGGAAGTGGTGTTCGGTTCAGCGTCGATCTCTTGGGGCCAAATGTCGCATCAGCCTCCTTGTTCGGGTTGGCAGCTCTTCTCGCGGTCATCGATCCCCCTTTTGCCACCTCGCGTCCATTTCCAGCTGCGGTGAGGAACTCGGACTCAAATTCTCTGGCTGTTCTTTCATGCACTTTGGTTGGCAGCTCGACAATTACCATACGCCCATCATAGAGGGCGAGAAATCGAAGTGGAATCCGTAGTCCTTCACCGTCTCCTACATACTTATTGAATGCAGTAACGGAGACTCCCTCACATACGACGTATGGATCGATTTCGTTGTCATCTTGATCGAAATAACTCGCGACCACTTCAAGATTCAGCGCATCCACGACAACGAGAATTTCATCAGCGGTTTTTGAAGTCGTCATTCTTGAAATGGGAAGGGAAAGAAAACCCGGTTTTCTTCGTCCGCCCATCCAATAGCTCAGTGTTGGATTTTGCCGAAGCAATCGGCTTTATTATCCTGTCCGATTTGGGGTCAAAATCGCCGAGCTATCAAATGTATACGATCGTATAGACGCGTCAATCGGATACTATTATACCGAAAGGGGACAAATTTAGTCTTGAATACCGTCTATCTCTGAATCAGAGACAAGAGTCTGATTCCTCCGACCTCCCTCCCTCTTGTTAAGACGTCCACCTCTGCCTCGGGAGAATGGGGCGTTCGCAAGGCTTCGAGAGACAGCAGTTTGCTGACACGGGGCTACCTAAGAAAGGAGGCAGGTCTCAGGCCGTGTGTAGACACTGCTTAGCTGCGTATAACGACCAGACGAGAGAGAAGAAACCACCGGAGCCCAAAGTCATCTCGGGGCGAGACACCAACTATACTAGCCATCTCAAGGACTGTCAGTATTTTAAAGAGGCACAAGAACGGGGTGATGTCACAGCTCCACTGGTTCAGCCAACAATTCTACACCACTTCTTAGCACAGAGCGGAGCGAAACCTTCTTCCAGCTCGGCTTCATCAATATCTGCATCGAGGTCCTCGATTGGGATGCTTCTTCAACAAGTTCCGCCAAACGAAGTCGGTGTATTTGTCAATACTTTAATCCAGTCTTTTGTAAAGACGATCATGATGAATTTGAGCGATTACTCATCCAGTTTCAGGCAGATAATTGCTTACCTGACCGTTTCATCGAAAAACCGTCAACTCGCAGGCTTTTTATTTTTCTCAACCGGGCCTGCGAAAAAGCTCTTCCGAAGCGAAAAGCAATGGGAAAAATTCTGGATAAATACAGCAAGGTTGAAGAAGACTCTCAAGTTTTGGCGCTCAACAACCGGTTGGCGTTTAGTGGCGGTCGATTGAATTTTTTATCCGATGTATGGATGAATGTTGTTAAGTTGCACTTACTTGGGTGCATGCTTGCCCTTTTCGGTACTATCGTGACCTATGGATTATTTCCAACTGGCTCATGACACGACGGGGTCGCGATTGCTGAGCAAATGGAGAAGGTGATGCGTGAAATTGAGACAAAGAATGGATGGACAATTGGGGCTGTTGTAACCGATAACGCTGGTCAGTGTGGTCGCGCCCGGCGTATTTTGGCACGCAGACATCCACGGATCGCGTTCGTTCACGGTTTTGCTCATGACATAAATAATCTGGTTAAAGCAGTGTTAAACGCGTCTTTCCGCGAGCTAACCAAACAGGCATCACTAGCTACGGTGACACTGAATGCATCATCTTCCAAGTGGTTAGTTCGGGCGCAAGAGCTGGTTACAGCAACCTACGGTAAGTCACTTGGGTTCATAAATTTGTGCGAGACAAGGTGGAACAGCATGCAAGGTTGTTTTGCCTCTTTATTGCGTGTGAGAAGTGGACTACTTCACTTTTGGGTCAAATACAACAGCTGCGTTGATTTCCCCCAGGCACTTCAAGTATTTGGTGAACCTTCCTTTTGGCGAAAGCTTGGAGCTGCTGAAGCGATAATTCGTCCACTTTCCAATGTTTCCTACAAGTTGCAACGTGATGAGAATTCATTGGCAGATGTTATCATTTCATACCGAGATATTTATCAAGGATTTCTGGGTGATTTCAACAACCTGGAGTTAGTATCGCGTAGAGAAGCGATGGCAACAATGCAAGCAGCCCTTAATGCTGTTAGCTTTGTTCTTACACCCTCTGCATGTTCGCGTTGCTGTGGCGATTCATAAGGAGTCACCGAATTTGAGATTTCTCGAGAGGTTATGTGGATATGGTATCTATTATTATCGACGATATGCTGGAATCGCCAATGAAAGTGATATCGAGGGTTTGGCAGCCGATTTACACGCCTGGTATCGTGGTGTATTTGTCAGAAGCTCAATTGTTCAGTTCAGTGGAGATGTTGGACAGTATTGGAGCTTTGCTGGTGATATAAGAGCCGACTCGAAGCTACCTAAGCTCGCGGCAATAATTCTCTCAATCGCAGTAAATACAGCAACATGCGAGAGATATTTTAGCGAGCTGGCTGCAATTCACACAGCCCTGAAAAACAGAAAGTCAATCGAGAAGGCACGTAAGTTTCTCCTAATTCGTCAGACGATTCGGCGGCGGGATAAAGTAGCGAGCGAAGGAAAAGAAATCGTCGAGATCAAACGCATCGTCGCTGCCGCTGAGAGAGAGCACGTTGGAAATTGTGATATGGGTACTCCTATCACGCTTGAAGAACTAGAAGAAAAACATGTAATTGCTCACCAAGATGTACCCAGCGAAGACACGACCGAGTATTGGCAAGACATCTTGAATGTTCTGGACGGAAACGAGTCCATACTCGACGAAACGTCTATTGACGAAGACGACGAACTCGAACAAAATATATTTGAAGGATTCGAAGAAGCTATTCCAGAGCCTGATACGACAGAGTTTCCCCAGACAAATGTGAAGACTTTCCCCCAGGAAACCAAGCTTACTGGAATTCGAGGGCAAAAATTTAGTCTTACTACACTTTTCCCGTCGGAGCGCACATTTGGATTGACGCCTTACGTGACATCACTGTCTGCATAGCTAAGCGCAATTAATACAATGCTTGTGCAGCTCCACTTACACGGACGATCCTGACGTACTTCTTGCTCTACTTCATCGCTGAGCTGTCGGTGGTGTACTTCATGTTCGAGGGCGCTTTCTTACTGCGGATGTATCAATACTGCCTGCGGCAGCAATGTCTTTTTCAGCGCAGCAACGATGAGGGCGAGACCTCCTCGCTGCTTAGGAGTGCCCGTGGCGGCCGGGAGCACTTTGCAGCCCGACAGCACTGATTCCAAGACGTAGAAGACGGTGGAGTTCAAGTCGTGCGACGGCACAGCGCATGAATGTGAATAGGACGTGCTTGGCTTCATAGGGCGTCGTGACTGTGGGTGAGCATCGTCTGTTGTATATTTTTGCCTATTTGATATCTCGACCGTCGCCTACAAGTAGAGCGGGGTTTTCCCACTTTGCGACCGGTCTTGCGGTTGTAGTAGAAGAAGTGTTCCGTGGTGGGGTCGTAGATTTTCTCGTACGCATCGAACGGTAATTCGCGCAGTTCTTCTCGGGCGCGACGGGCTCACCACATCCGCTGCAGACACGTAGCAGCTTCATCGCGTGACATTTGTCGTAGACGCTATAGTCTTCGTTTATGTCGCTTGAGACAACACGCTCACTCATGCGTGGTTACTTCCTTACAGAGTACAAGGCTGAGAATCGAGGAGATACAAGTGTGCTTTGTCGTCTTCCGGAAGGAGATACAGTCGAGTCGTCCACGAGTGCAAGATCGTATTCACCAAACACTGCAGGTTTAAACCAGGTTGCAGTGCCCGAAACACTGTCGTAGTAGCATGGTTGACCAGACACCGGGTCCAGTATCTTACGATATTGGCGCGTGATTAGCTGGAGAAGCATCTTACGCGCTGCGATCCGTCGGTAAAGCGCTTGAATCGTGCGTGTGGCAGCTTCCTCGTTGTGGAATTTCTCTGGTCTCAACGTGACTGCTACTCGTCGACGTCCCTGGGCTGGATTTTGATGATGGCCAGCCGTAGATCCAAGCTCGTCGTCGGCCTCATTAAGCAGAAGTCGGGGCTTCTCTCAGGGCGTTTCCTTAGTAGTGGCGCTGTAAATATAGAAACACCCGGTCGTGGCGTCCCAGATGTTCTTGATACTCGAACGCAGAATACGACGCATGAGCTCACGACCTCAATGACATCGGTACGCGTGCTGAACGATCGGAGCAGCTTCATCGTGCGTCATGGTAGCGAACCTGGCCAGTCGTTGGATCTCGACTGGGTCATTCAGATCGTATCGCTTGCAGAGTAATGGCGGCGGATCCCACAGCTTTGGTGGCAACTCCTTTTTGCTTGCCAATTTTTCCACGTGATACACACGTTCCTTCTCTAAATTAGAGTGCTTTTCGTATCGATCACGCAGCAAGTTTAAGACCAAACGTCGAGCTTGAAGACCTCGCCATACTGCTTGCAGTTTGATAGCTGCTTTGACAGGTGTGAGCGGAGGGTATATCCGCGGCGAAGCGTCCACCACTACTACCAGCAGCATCCGTGTGCAAAACGACGCTCTTCCCCGCGGAAACCCCCTGCCTGCGCAGATTATTGTTCCCGCTCCACTATCAAAATGGCTGCTCCATTCGTGTCCGGATAATGCCCGGATACCGGTTGCGTGTGGTGGTCCAAGTTGGAGCTAACCGGATGATACAGCCGAATTATTTTGCCGATTTAGCCGAATTGCCGATCGGCAAAAAAAATCAGTTTAGCCGAATTGCCGCGATAAAGCCGCGGCAATTCGCGGACAGCTATTATGGCTGTCCGCTTAAGCTACGCATAAAAAGGCATCCAGAGTACCCCTATTAAATACACAATATCAGAGACAGCGATGATGTACAGTACTATAATAAAGAACATGCTAAGTACTACATGTACATGTACTACTAGCTATAGTACATAAGCGTATTTTTACGTTTACCGTACTACGGTTCCTCTAGCAATCCACATGGACATCGATAAGGGACCGCCTTTAACTGCAGTGACCTCGCCACACTCTTCATTTTGCTTTTTTAGGTCACAATATATGTGTAGTACATGTGTGCTACTTGTTCTGCTTCGCCAGGGCAGCATCCACCTCGGCGTCGCTAGACACGACAAAGCTCTTAGTGTTAGCCTTCTTGAGCAGAGCCTCGAACTTCTCCACATCAACGTCAGAGTCCACCTTCTTTAGCAGCGCTGCGGCTTCTGCGGAGGAAATGGACTTGACGCCCTTGGCTGCCTTGTCCACGAAGACAGCAGCCTTCGGGTGCTCCACCAGGTTGTTGCACGGCACGTTCACAGCCAAGCCATCTTCCACAGCAAGCACGTGCTTCTTAGTCACCTTACTGGCAGCGTCCACGATCGCACCACCAAAGAGGGACGTCACACCCAGAGGGTTCCAGATGCTCAAGTGAGCACTGTAGAGCTGGCCGTTGTTGATGGCAGCAGCGCGCCCAGCGCCCGTAGCGTTGAATACAAGCGCAGTCTTGTTGTCCTTGACCAGAACGTCAGCAGGAACCACCAGAGACCCGGACTCAGCCACATCCAGCAGCTTCTTCTTGGCCAGACCAATAGAATCCTTAATGGTCGACAAGTCTGCGGCTCCCGTGATCACAACCTTGACAAATGTGGCACCTTCGTCGTCATTATCCATGAGCAGTTGAGCTTGAGGGTCCTTGTCCTTGAATTCACCGCCGGTTGCCACGTAGACGACAATGGGGCGAGCAGCATGAGGGTCTTTGATGGGAACACGCACCAACAGACTCTGGGCGAACAGAGCCACCACAGGAGAGTCCGAAATGACACGCACACGTGTACGGTCGTCCTGGAAAGAACCAGCAGCTCCGTCCTGCGTGTACAGATTGGGCTCAGTGGACAGGTGCTCCGTCACCTTCTCGTACAGACCCTCGAAGTCGTTGAACACGATGCTCACGTCCACCTCCTCGATCGCCACCTTCTTGCCAGCTGCAGTAACGTTAGAAACTAGTAAGTAACCTTAGCATAAATTTATAAAATAACTTCCACAACGTCCTTACCGGGCTTCTCCTGCTTGGCGAGCTCCTCGAGCTTGGGCCAGCTGAGGTTGCGGAAAGCGTCACCGTGCGGCGTCACGTCATCGTCAGCCAGCGACCAGTTGAACTCAATGTTGAGACCTTCGTGCTCCTGCGGGAACTCCTTCTCGCGCATAGCAATAATTGTAAATAAAAAAATGGTGTCATTTGCCACAGTTGTTTGAGGCGGATCTTTGGCGTTTGTACGCACCACAACGAACTTGTCGGCGGCGTGCGGAGCGACACTGAAGTTGCGGAGAAGTGCACGACGTGCTGTGACCGAGCGCAGCGCCTGGAAGCTCTGGCGGAGGGCCATGTCGACAGGGATCAGGCAGCTAGAAGCTTTACGGTTCTGGGGGTCGGAGGAAAATGACCGGCCGTGAAAATGCTCGCACTTAAGCGAATTTCAACCAATTATGATGAAGGAAGTTGATTTAGACCAAATAAATATGGTGCATTTGCAGCAAGTTGCACTTCGTTATCATTAGTATGGACGTGCCACTTGCGGCACGCGGATTGGCGCCGTCTGTACTCGGTACGGAGGTGTCGGGGATGGATAAGGAGCTAGTCAGAATTACGCAGTAGCGTTTCTACTAACGCAGGCGTATGGTGTGGTGTGTGTGCTGGGTGACCAGAGGCACTTTTCCGCGCAGGTTTTCGGTATCAAAAAGACCTTGTAGACATCTCTGCTCGCGAATTGGCAAGCGGTGGGTGGCTATATAACGAATTTGATGCATATTTAGTCCAAACGTTGTGCAACTGCTGCGCAGAGGCGGAAATTAGCGTGGATGATGCGGTGGGAGTGCTGGAGATTGCTCGGCATGAGAAAAAAACGACGACAGTCGGAGACACAGCACTCGATCTGCTCCAGGTAAATGGCGGTTGCTGTAGGCTGTTGCTGCAAAAAGAGATTGGCAGTTAATAGTTGCCGATAGGAAGTGACGAAGAGCAAGCCAATTGCGACGAGACTGCTAGGGCTTGATGGATTGCTGGGCGGCGGCCTGCAGCTAGGTGAAGTCACGGAAATCTGTAGGTTCGGCAGTGCTCATTGCACTGTTATGACAACTAATCGTTGAAATTTGACGGTGTGGAAGGTGGTGGTCCAGGATCCGGTAAAACGCAGTTCGGGTGAGTAGTAACAGTGTGGGTATTCTGGATATTAGTTTGGGAAAGGTACTAAGTGCTTTGTCTGGTGGTGAGCAGGATTCATGCTTGCTTGGCAGCGCAGTACGCGGTGGATGAGGCTGGAAAAAAGTCATCCGCCGTATTTATTGGTCTGGAACCGGTTACGATGGGCGGTGTTTGCTGGCGTGACTGATTGTCTCTTGATGGTCTCGTTAACAGATAGTGAAGGAAGTTTTATCATCGAGCGCGTGGCGTCAATGGCTAAGCACTTCTTAGAGGATTTTCGCCACCTTGGAGCGGATAAGCTGGTACAGTTACTTCTTGTTAGGGACGCTCTCTGATTTCCTCTTAATTACTTCTCTATTGTAGACACGGGACGATTTGCTGCGAGGAATCACGTACTACCGTGTTCATGATTTCTTGGAGCAAGTGGAGATACTGCACTCCTTGCCTTCTTATCTCCAAGCCACCCCCGAGGTAATTTATTTCTTGTGTGGGTATTGAACGCGTGGATCGAAGTACTAACGCTAACGTTGTTCGTCGCAGTGCAAGCTTCTCGTAATTGACACGGTTGCTTTCCACTTTCGCCACGGCTTCGAAGACTACACTCAAAGAGCTCGAGCTTTGGATGAGCTTGCTCTCTTTCTACATGGACTCGCAACTGACTTCGACCTGGCGGTAAGCTATTCTTTGTTAGTCGACATTCTTTTTGTTCTCAAAGGAGTTTGTGTAGGTCTTGTTGATCAACCACATTACCACAAAGTCGTCGTCTAACAACCGACAAGTGTCACAAGAACGACCGGCATTGGGTGAGTTTTTGATTGTGTAATCGCTAACGTCGCTGACTTGTTATCGTTTGAAAAGGTGAAAGCTGGACCCATTCGATTGCGAATCGGGTAGTGTTCGAATGGGAGGTACGTCCCTATCGTCGTCCGGTTATTCACGTAATGACTTGACCAATGGGATTGTGAACTGCAGGCGAACTGTCGAGTTGCTCGGATAATTAAGTCAGCCACGCTTGCACACGACTCGGCGCTTTTTGAAGGTATACGAACATAAAATCTGCTACTTTAAAGGCAGGGCCTGACGTTCAGTGTGACACTCTCTTGCTTAGTGTCAGAGCGTGGGGTCCGAGATGCGATCGATGAAGAGTACTAAATAATGATCACGCCAACATGCGAATGGAGTCGTCGTTTATCAGCTGCTCAGTTTTACCGATTTACCTTCCCAAACTACGAGTTCACTATCTCATACGCGGAGGATCCTTGGTGTTTCAGCGCACTGTGCATCGATGCACTCTAGACGAGCGCTTCCTGCTTCTGGCATGCCAAGCCCATGTGGCCCGCGAAGCACTCGCATGTTCCTGTGTCGTAGTCGCAGGTGCCGCGACCAGCACACTCGGTGAGCTCGGTCAATGGACGATACGCTGGAGTATCTTCGGCAAGCATGTTGCTCGTGCCAAGCGTCACCGGATAGACTTCTTTAACGACGCAAGTGCCAGACGTTACACCAGTAGTAAGCGGGTGCTGGCCCTTAGTATCGCCATGCGCGGCAACATTGCAATCCAGCAAATTCTGATACCCCGTAGTGCCCGGCTCCGACGTAAAAATCACCTCGCACATCGCTTTAATTTGAGTTCCGGTTCCTGCGTACGCTGCAGCGTCGTCATTTACAATTTTGTTTAACGTTCCATACCCCAACGAGTCCGTTGGGTCAGAGCGCTTGAAGGCATAAAACCTGTCAACAGCTACCACAGTGACTGTGTTGAGCACGTTGTTCGGTAAACGGCGGAGCGCCTTCTGAATGTTTGCACATGTGGTATCATCGTCTGTTGGTTGAAAAGCGACACTCAGCGTTCCACCAAGCGTGATTTTCTCCGTAGTATACGCATTGCCGTACGGATCATAGTACGTCAAGTACCCCTCACCGCCAGCCTTATCAAGAATAATAGCTTGCACCATGTCGTATTGATTCGGGGTCAGAGGATCGTCGCCTCTAGGACACGAGCGCATCGAGCAATCGTGACCTTCGTAGTTGGCGTCACATACGCAGCCCATGATCTTCTCTTGGTCCCAAAGCGTGTATTTACGACCTGCCACTCCCCCAATCCGCTTGTGGGCCGTATCCGTCGCCAATTCCTCAATAAACTCACACGTGCCGTGGCCACTGCAGTCATTGGGACACTGCATTCGTCGACAGCCGCTGCCGATGAATCCTGCGTCACATGTGCATTCTCCAGTAGCTCGATCACACGTTCCGCGGCTGCCACATTCTGCGTGGTAGTGTGCGTCGTCGTCGCGCTGTGCTGTATCTTGCCACGCGCGAGTGAACGCACATTGCCGACCCGAGCAATCACCGCCGACCCAGTTCTGCATGCATTGGCAGACGTCATTGAGACCGCATTTGCCGTGTCCGGAACACTTGTTGGGGCAGGCGCCTAGCACTAAACTAGGCGTCGCTAACAGCAGTGTTAGTGCCACTACAACCCCCCACTTGGTCATGACCTGAACTCTGGACTTCAATAGCTTCTGCTCGTTCGTGCGGCAGGAAAGGTGAATCCAAATGTGGAAAGCTCTCAATAGACGGCGACACGTCCGTTAGATTTGGGGACCTTTTGTGCGATCTTGCGAGACGCCACCAAAGTGACCATTGGCCGGGACGATCTTTTGCAGAGGGACGCCCCACGAAAATAACGAGTACTGCAGTTGGTTTCTATTGACAAGTATAGAAATTCCTCGCCTACGTTCTTGTTGTTTGACCAACTGCATCCACTTCCACGAAAGCTACAAAAGCAGCGCCAGCCATCCCGCTACCAGTGCAACACCTCCAATAGGCTACGACACCATCACAAGTGAATACACTATTCAATCCCTTGTACAGATCAACTACGCACCGTTATCATGCCGAGCTTCTTCTGCTGCGTGAGCGTCAGGGCGTACAGCGAGCCGGAGAAGAGCATCGTGCCAGTCGTGATGAGACCTCCCGCTAGTCCCGGTCGTCGACACATGGGCGTGGCTAGCAGCACTACCGAGTGGATCAACTGGTAGTGCGCTGCCGTCTCCCAGTTCTTGAGCAGATGCGGGTTCTTCACGTGGTTCTTGAGTCCATGAGCACCGAAAGCCCCTGCAAAAATCGTGAGAACACTACTAAAAATAGTCGAGGCTCAGGGCTGCTGGTTATTCACAACGCACCAAGCAGCACAGCGCTGGCGCCGGAGATAGCGCCGACCTTCCACCAGATCGAGAGCGCGGGCGAGATCACAGCGGCCTTCATGAAGCTTGTCGATATTTGACATGCGTGGTTTAGGCCAATTAGAGTCGATCAGTGCAAGATTATGGGACGGGAAACCCACCAAAGACGATGTTGAAGTGGATCACTTATAAAAGGTGAAAATGATAAAGGTGTCATAATCACGACGACATATGGTAGTTGTTATTCGTGTCTGGCACATTCTCCAGTTACCTCTCTTAAGGGTAAACCCAACTACGAATGCCTTTGTAACGTAAAAAACGGGCATCTTGAAAGTGGTCGTCGGAAGTACTGCATCATTCCGAGAGGGCGTGATAATCACAGATAAAAATGGTCATTTCACAGAGGGTGCGTCAATTTCACAGATCGTATGTAAGCTTCACAGGACATGCCTCCTTTTCACAGACCGAGGATCCCATCTGCCTCAAGGGAATATGTTACCTAACTTCATAATAAAAAAAACCAAACCTAAACAGTAATAAAAAGGAAGTCACAATCCAACATTCACCGCAGTGTTATACATACCGATAATCGAGATCGTGGTTTGTGCTGCTCTCACCTGCGGTTGCCTCCTGCGCCTTGCCGAAGGTGCGGGGCTGTCAGCAAGGGCACCGCTAGGTCTTCGCCAACCAGTAGAAGACTTTCGACCTCTAGGACGTCGCATGCGAAGACCAGACGTAGTTTTGCAGAATGTTCGTTGTCTTCCGTCGCCATATCCGATTTGCAACCGCGTGTTATCACTAACCAATCTGAGATACATGCTCCGAAGTGTTCCAAGTTTGCAATACAATCGAATCGGAACCTACTGAGAGCAAGAAAACGCTATACTACCTAGATACATCAGTATTCAAATATGAGGCCGATTTAGATCCTTGGGTATTACGAAGTAATTAATAAATGCGTATAACGATTATTTATAAATAAAGATGTTTTGTGTGTCGTTACGAAACGATTATTTACAAAGTCCTTGTATTCTCCATTAGCTAAAGAAACAAATGAAGTACGAGTGGAACTTTGTAAGCTCCTATGAAAACGAAGTGCAGCTAGAAGATTATCTCGACGCGCAGAAGACATGGTGTAAGAACAAGAGTCAGCTGGAGATATGCAGTGTTTGTGAATACAATCTCGACATTCACTTTATGCGCTATCGGCTTTTCATTTGCTCCGACGAAACTTGCAAGCTGTTAGGGTCGTGCAAGTGGGTCTTGAAAGCTCTGCAGTGTCAGATCACCGATAAAATCAGTGTTTTTCAAAATTCACACCACTTGTCAGTCTCACCTGCATATCGTAAGCCCGGGGATCTGAATTGCGCAATGAAGAGATACATAAGAAGCCAGGCCGAGGTCGGATTGAAGCCGGCCGCAATAATGCACAAAATGGCTGTTGATTTGGGGCTGCCGCAGACCAATCCAAAAACACTTCTACCAAAAGTACAGTGTTTTGTACGCACGTACAGAAACAATAGTAAAGTGGACAATGATTTCGTCGATGTGATGGTTGCAAACGCTGTTAAACATCGTTTTCGAGATGGCTGCAGCGAAATCACACCATTTACATTTGGATTTTCACTTGATAGCAATGGAGAAGCTCTAATTGGTAAAGGAACTGAAGATAGCCCTCTAGTTATTGGGTTTTCGACCAAATCACTGGTCAAGAGACTCGGTCGAGCATCTGAATTTATTTTTCACTTGGATGCCACTTTCAAACTTAACACTAGAGGTTTTCCGGTTATAGTTATGGGTCTATCAGATATGTGGAGACAATTTCACCCTGTGGCTTTCTTTTTAGTCTCCGATCTAAAGAGTCCCCAATGGACTCGAGCAATTCGGGGGTGTAGGATAATGCGTCCTAAGACACGTCCTAAAGTGTCCTATTTGTCCTAAATTTTACAGGGGGATTTTGGAGATGTGTCCTAAAAAGCAACTAATCCTTCGCTACAGAATATTATAATTTGTGTCCTCCATATTGTCCTAAAACTCAAATATTAACTTTCTTCTGGACCTTCTACTTAAAATTACATAAGCGTTACTTAATACACACATTAGCGTTACTTACTGTCCTAAGGCACACTACCAACCATTTATCAATCTCCACCACGGCAGCTAAGCACCATGGACCATCGCGGCTACTCCTTCTGCATCAAGCGCTCGTGTCCTGAAACAAGCACGGTTTACTACGTCTGCAAGCGGTTCCGCAAAGGATGCAAGGCTAAGATAACTGTCCGATCAGGTGCAGTTGTAGCAGACGGGGTTCTACATACGTGCGACGAGGCGGTGCCACAAGTCATTGATGTGCGCAGCGAAATGCGCCTAGAGCTACAGCGACGCAGCGTCAGCAACATGGCTACCCCTCCACCAGTTGTATGGCAAGAGGTGTACGACGGGATCAAGCGCCGCCATGCTGCCGACGACGGCACGCTCACTATCATTCCATGCGCACCTGCCGTCTCTATAGTGAAGCAGACACGCAAGGAGTGTACGGGCGGTGATGTGTACGAGGCCATACTTTCTCAATCAGTACGCTGTGTAAACGACAAGGACCCCAGGTCCTTTCTACAGTTTAGTGTGGCGTACCCCACACAGACGACCACCGGAATCCATCGCATGATCGGTTTTGGGCACCCTGATTTGGGTCTGATACTGCGGTATCCGAAGATTACCCTTTTCATAGACGGCACCTTTTCGGTGGTACCCAAACCTTTCAACCAATGCTTGATTGTGATGGCGTTTGAGCCTGCCGTCAATCTCTACGTACCCATTTGCTACGTTTTGGCTCGAGGTAAGTCGCAAGATATGTACTGGCGGGTGCTAAATGAGCTCATCAATCGTGACTTTGCGTCCCGAATGGGTGTACATCCTGCCCTTTTAGCCTTTATTGAAGGCACCAAGCGTGAGGCTGCACGCTATATCCAGCGTATCGAGGATATCAAACACCTCCGCCAGAAAGCCCCTCAGCATGCCCCACCAGCGACACTGGAGATTCCTGAAGACTACAAAAGGTTTGAGTAGATGCAGATAGAACCTACTAATACAATATTCCCATGTGTAATTGCTCTTGTGAATTATAGATGAATAATTGAATTATATTGATAAGACAGTAGAAAACTAGTAACGTTGTCCTAATAGGACAGTGCATGTTGGGTTTGATGTTGTCCTAATAGGACAGTAGTCTGAGTTGCTGTGTGTCCTAATAGGACATAATAAGTGTCGAGTTGCTGAGTGTCCTATTAGGACACACGGAGCCTGGCTTGTTTCGTCCTAAAGCACATTGTGGTGTCCTAAAATTTGGATCGTTTATGAACCGATTGCTAGTTTTTTATCCCAGGTTTTAGGACAATAGGACACTTTAGGACACCTAGTAGGACGCATTCTCTCCTACCAATTCGGGTATTGCTGGATTTGTATTACGACATTTCATCACAGAGTGTATCGTTTGGATTCGTGATGATGGATGCAGATAATGCTCAACGAAATGCATTTGAAAGTGTGGCTGGTGCTATTCTCGCTTCAGATAAGCAGCCAACGTACTTGATGTGTTTCTTTCACGTGATGTCAAATGTTAGAAAACATACCGTGGGGTTCTCGGAGGCAAACAAGAGAATTGTATACAGACATGTATACAAAATTCACTACGCGCGAACCTTGGTGGATAAACAGAGTCGAATCGACGATGCTCTGGAATCATGGAAGGTTAACACCGACTTGCAGTCATTCTCCGAGTATTTTTCGGCTCAGTGGCTGGAGGGGCGCTACAGTAAATGGCAGTGTGTGGAAACTCCGACTGGAATGGCAAAAACTAACAACCCGTGTGAAAACTTCAATCGCCATATGAAAAACACTCATTCTATGCGCAGATTGCTTCATTTAAACCCTCTTTTCATGGAGTTACTTAAAGTGAGCCAGGCAAGATCAATTTTGACAGCTACTTTTGCGACATCGACACGGGCAGCACCCCACATTATTAGAGACTTCAGAAAATTAAAGAGAGAGCGCCTTTTAACCATTACTAGTTCAGCTCGCATGAAAATTGCTTTTCTTCTGGAATCGGGGCACAGTATGGTAGAATTTCGTGTTCAACAACGAAAAGGAGCTCCTACTGTAGCTAGAATAGTGAGACCCAGTACAAATCTGCCGGCACCTTTGACGGACACTTTGACTGGTATACTGACACCAAGTAGCAATCTGCCTGTAGTCAGTAGTATAGTGGCAGCAAGTACAATTCTGCCGGCAGATATATGCGCGTTACAGCTAGAATAGTTAGACCCAGTACAAATCTGCCGGCACCTTTGACGGACACTTTGACTAGTATACTGACACCAAGTAGCAATCTGCCTGTAGTCAGTAGTATAGTGGCAGCAAGTACAATTCTGCCGGCAGATATACGCGCACTGTAGCTAGAATAGTGAGACCCAGTACAAATCTGCCGGCACCTTTGACGGTCACTTTGACTAGTATACTGACACCAAGTAGCAATCTGCCTGTAGTCAGTAGTATAGTGGCAGCAAGTACAATTCTGCCGGCAGATATACGCGCACTGTAGCTAGAATAGTGAGACCCAGTACAAATCTGCCGGCACCTTTGACGGTCACTTTGACTAGTATACTGACACCAAGTAGCAATCTGCCTGTAGTCAGTAGTATAGTGGCAGCAAGTACAATTCTGCCGGCAGATATATGCGCGTTACAGCTAGAATAGTGAGACCCAGTACAAATCTTTTAATCTAATACATTTTCTGTATTTGTAGTTGCCCGTGTGGATTAGAGATGCTGGAATTAATAGTTCTGCCTGGAATTTACGAAGCTGACAAAATGTGTAATATTAATAGTATATAAATAATTAAAATGGGAAGTTTGTTAATGTCCTCTTTCTCCAAATTCTAATTCATCATTGATATCTCAGCATTTCCATATGTGATTTGAGAACACAGGGTACTTTTCCATGCGCTCTGTGAAAACAACGTCCTCTCTGTGATTTGACGATTTCCATCTGTGAAAAAGTATTTTTATCCATCATTCCTTACCACTCCGAGCTGATTTGCGTTAAGCTCATCATTGACGTCAATCCAGCAACATCGGTTTTGGTCTCCATACTCTGCTTGCCTGCGCCTCGTTTCGCACCTCTTGCTGCTGATACTTGAGTTGCTTGTTCGATCAGCTGAACAGTTGCTGTTACGCTTCTGCCAAGTCCGGGTATTTCCTGAAATGGTACTTTGTCCAGGGCAGCCACGATTCGCTGACATCGCAACGGGTGCAGCCAGCGTAGTGTGTGTCAAGTCTGCAAACAACCTCAACTGATGCTGAAAACAGGACCGTGCTTTACCACTTGGTCGTGATACGAAACAAATACTGGATGAAGGAAGAGAATGTTCACGAACGTTTTATCCCGTTTATATTCGCTGGCTGTACCACCTCGAAAGACAAAAACCCAGTCGCAATCGAACGCAGGAGCGCATGATCTGATAAAGTCAGTACATGTATATCGCTTCTCGTTCTGGCAATGCTTGCTTAGTAGTAGATAGTGCACTTGGGTCTGCGTATCGGCCATTTTGAACTTGTAAAATTCATTTGGATCAAATATCATTGTGTAGCGATAGCCGTATTAATAGTAGCCTTCTTCTTCATTACGAGGGTACGGCGAGATCATCGGGAGCTCGTTGTAATACAGTGTCGTCGAGAAGCACGCGGCACGGAGGCCAAACGCCCATTGATCTCGGCCCTTATCATCACACATAGTCGGCTTAGTAGATGTGAGGCCGCTGCGGCTGGAAACATGGTACGCAGTGATCATCATTTCCCGAAGTGAGTTTTACCGTTTTTTGACCAGGTTGACTACCAAGTAGTAAATGACGTTGTCAATTGAAGTGGATCCGACGATGGGTACACCTAGATCAACAAAATCCAACGTTTATCCAAAAACCTTTGGACCACAGGCAAGTGACGCAAATCAGTCTCGGATTTACCTGGAAGGCGGTCGTGATGGGGCAGCACCATTCCCTTGAGGCCCAAGAAATCCCCGCGTTGGTGGTGTCGTTGGTCGTGGCCAGCTCCAATGACAAGACGAGAGCTGTCTCCACATTGGCGCAGCTTGCAAAGAATGAGGCGCATCAACGAATCATCGCCAATTCCGGCGGCATTCCAGCGCTAGTGGCGTTGGTGCAGCATGGGAATAAAGTCCAAAGGACAGCAGCCGCACTGACGCTTTCGAAACTCTCAACACAAACGTCACACAGAGCGGCGATCGTGGTGTCCGGGGGGATATCGCCTTTGGTGGAGTTGATTCGTGCCGGTAATGGGGCTCAGAAGGAGCACGCCGTCTCGGTGCTATTCAATCTGTGTATGAGCAGCAGCCACCGAGCGAAAATCGCTGCTTCTGACGCTATCGCGCCGCTGATAGCGTTGGTACGAGACGGTAGTTCGACTCAGAGAGAAAAAGCGGCTGGAGTGTTGGCTTCGTTAGCGACTGACGCTAAGAGCCAAGTCTCGATCACTGCAGCTCGTGGGATCAACCCATTGGTGCAACTGATCCGTTGTGGGGCGGTTGGCGAGAGAGTGAACGCCTTGACAGCGCTGTGGATTTTATCAGCGAATGATACAAGCAAAGCGGAAATAGTACGAGCTGGAGGAATTCCGCTACTGGTGAAGCAGCTACGAGGTGTCGGAGAATACCCTAAAGAGGTTGCGTCTGGTACATTGTGGAATCTTTCGATAGCTAAGGAGAACCGAATGAGAATTGCAGCAGCGGGTGCTATTTCACCTCTAGTTGAGCTGCTGCGGACGGGGAATTCTGTCCACAAAACGAGAGCTGTCAGTGTACTGTCAAATCTTTCAACCCTTCCAGAGTGTCAGTTTTCTATTGCGACTGCAGGTGGCATCACACCGACGGTGGCTCTGCTAAAGAATGGAATCGACTCGCAGAAGAAATGTGCGCTGACGGTGCTGTCGAATCTTGCAGGCGGCTGTAGTAAAAGCACAACTGAGCTGGCAGCTCCTGGCACCGTCGCTGCTGTTGTGGCGATGATGCGCGACTGTAGCGTATCTGTAATCCAGAACGCCACAACGTTTCTGGCAATTCTGTCTTCGAATTCGTATAATTCCGTGATCGCACAAGCTGGGGCTATCCCGCCTTTAATGGCATTGCTATGGGGAGGCAGCACGTCAATAAGAAGGAAAGCTACGTTGGTGTTGGCGAATCTGTCGATGGAATCTGCCCATCGAGTGGCGATCTCCGCTGCTGGAGGAATTTCGGCGCTGCTGATGCTGATGAGGGACGGCAATGACGATCTTAAGGAGATGGCTACACTTGCGTTGTCGAATCTTGCGATGAATTTCGAGAATAAAGTGGCGATAACAGCAGCTGGAGGTGTTCGAGCGTTCGTACGATTACTGAAAGAGGGAAACGACGCGCAGAGACACAACGCGGCGCTCGCCTTGTCGATTCTCTATCTCGATCGTAACAGCTCAGCGGCTATCGTCGCTACTGGCGGTAAGCTTCCGCTTATGGTGCACGCTTGTGATGGTACACGTCGTGAGAAAACATTCACTTCTCAGGTGTTATCGAACTCATCAGCAAGCACACATAACAGTAGCCCAACCTCACGATAATATACCGTGAACATTAATCCTATTAATCGCAAAAAAAAGGCAGTGAAGTCGCACCACGGACTCGCACAATGCTCAATCGATTGGCAGCATTTCTCGATAAACTCCACAATAACTCAACAGCATTTTTGCGTTGAGCTCCAGTTCCGATATAAATGAATGAAACCAGCACTGGAACTCCATCTGCAGCAACAATCGCGCCCCCTGCTCTCGCCAGTCGATGATAGGCGACAAAGTGCCTCCACAGCAGCAGTCTGGCGATCAACCGAACCATTTCGAGCCAGTGCAAAGAGCGAACGGATAACTCTATAGCAGTTTTGGCTTTAGGACCACCGCAAGATTCGCTAGCACTTTCGCTGCATACTCCTTCTGAGTGTCAAACTAGCAAAGCACGTGGGAAAACCCCGCGATTCAAGACACATCTCGCTCTGGCCTCGGCATCTAAGGATCGTGTCCACGAAAATACAGCGGCATCCCGTACCCTGCCCGTTCTGCAACAGTGCGGCCAGTAATGAAAGCTCGACTTCGTCCGCAACTTCACCTTTCAAACTCGCAGCCGGTGTTTCGTTTCGTTTCTGTAGTCTGGTATCGACTGGCAATATCATTATTGTACCTAAATCACCGGCCTTCGTGATGACAATTCTTTTAGCGTCATCTGGTGAAAGCTTTCGAAACACGCGTGCGCTCACATATGCTGCGAGTATCTTGATACTCGGCCGTCAATGGGATACGACACGGAAAGCGTAGACACAAGTCTGGAGATCGAACGAGTATCCACCGCGATATTCGCCAGTGCGATCGCCGCGCTCTCCTTTTGCTGGTAGTCCCGTCACGGACCGGCGTCACCAGTTCTTCAACCTCCTCATCCGCTCTAACGACAAGCTGGAACGCCATCGCCAATGCGAGACACGTCAAGGCTTTTGCAGCATACTTCATCTGAATGTCGTTACCGTTGATCGCCAATCTCAAAGCTTAGAGATGCCACCGACATCCATAATTGCTTTTTCATTTGCTTCATTCTTCACGAGTTCACATAGAGCTGCAGCTGCTCTTCCTTTCTGTGAGTCACTGCCGTCTCGCATCATCACAAGTAAAAGCACGATACCACCGGAGACTGCGATTACAATTCGAAGTTCGGAAATCGCTGACAAGTTATATAATACACGTAAGGAAACTCCTCGAGATCAGGATTTCTATCTCGAATCAGCCCCAGCAAGACAGGGATCCCATCAGCGTCTGCAATCGTGCGTCTTTTCTTCTTATCAACGGCACACTGGCTAGAGCCCGAGCTGCAAGCTGTCTCTGACAGGAGTTCCCACCAAAGCGACAAGAAGCGGCACTCCTCCGACATCCGCTTCAGTCTTTCTCTTTCCAGCAGTATCCAATAGTGAGAGCACGGCTTGCTCTTTCCCGCAATCGTCATCATACCCTAGTAGATCCACCAATATAGCCATGTCGCCCTCATCGGATATTATCTTTGCGGTGTCGTCATTGTCGGTTAGCTTCGATCGCGCTTTTGCAGCGCTTACTACTTGCGCTCCGTTGCCAGCTCGCACTACCGCGAAGAGTTGAGGGATGACACGAGCAGCTACGATCGCGCTTTTACTCTCTGGCTTCCTCCTCAGCAGATTCATCAACGCCCTCACTGCATTCACAATATGGCTGTAATTCCCATGACGCACCAACTCCAAGAATCGAGCACTTTCAACAACAGTTGGATACCGACACTTGCTCGTGTCACCGAAGCCAATTTTTAGGAGTAGCGGATGCAGAGAGGCTTGTACAGCCCTGAGACGGCCGTCAATACTTAAGCGGGAGTTCGTAGATAAAGCTTTATTCTGGCTGCCAATCGCGTGTTCAATATCCTTCCGATCGTCCGAGATGGTCGCTAAGTTCCTTAAAGATCCCATCGCTACAGCTTTGTAAGCAGCTTCACCTTCACGTAGGAATATTATTAAGACTGGTATTCCGCTCACAATAGCAATCGCCGCTCGGTTGGCTGGACTCTCCGACATTTTCCACAAAGCTGTCACTACTCTTGCTTTCAGGGCAGCTGTGCCATGTTGCAAAGTATCCACGAACGGTAAGGGTTCCACCTGCATCAACGATGAATTGCTGGTGCTGAGAGATACGTGAGAGCAGCCACAGAGTTCTCCTTTCGATTGTCATTGCCATGTCGAGCTAACGTCACTAAGAGAGGAATCCCACCGGCATCTCCAATTAACTTTTGATTCTCGTCACTCATCGCTAAGCTCCACAGGGCAGAAGCAACCTTCTCTTTCTGGACGTCGTCACCGACACGCACGAGTGTAATTAATCGAGAGATACCACCCGCACGAGCAATCAACGGCGTCGATGGATTGGCTAGCCAACGCGACTGTCGCCTTCACGCGAAGATCTCGGTTCCCATGTCGGAGTAGACCAACTAGCAGCAAGATCGCGCCTGCATCTGCCATCTTCACTTTGTTGACAGCATTCACGGACAAATTCGACAAAGTACCAACGGCTTTTAGCTTCATCTTGTCGTTACCGTCTTGTGCCATTGCAATCAACGGGTGGATACCTCCAGCGTTTGCGATTACTACTCGGTTGGCAGCATTTACGGACAGATCCATGAGCATTGCTGCAGCGAATTCATTCTGAGCATCAGTTCCAACTCGACTCAACTCAAGCAGCAATGAAATTCCACCAGCCACTGCAATCGCGGCTTTGCTCTCATTGTCGACGGACAGCCGCCACAGTCCGGTTACGGCCTTGAGGTTTTAAACCTCGTTGCCATTTCGTACCATTGCTACGAGCGCGTGGACGCCTCCCGCTGCTGCGATTGGTGTCGTGTATGAGACCGACAGATTTGCCAACACACCCGCTGCAATCGTCGCCTAAGGAGCATTCCCTGCACGAACAAGAGCCACCAACGCAGGGATGGCATCTGCCGATGCATTGGCAGCTCTGCTCGCTTCGTTCATCGACAGGATTTCTACTTCAGCCACCGCTTTCGTCCTTGTGAGCAAAACATCGGAATGGATGAACGTCACCAACTTCCAAATGTTTGGCCGTGTTTTTAGTTTCTGTCTGGAATGTTTTTGCCCCATCGGGATTGCTTAACTGACCACATCTCGCAGTGTTAGGCTATCCGGACAACACTTCGCGTTTGTTGGCTACATGAGAAGCTAGGAACGAGGACGAGTAGCCACGCGTGTACTGCACGCCACCTCGAAAACTGGAACGTCGTCTTGTGTTCCTCCACGCAAATTCTCTTGTGGCACTTCAGAAATATCTCTCTGGGCTGTTCCGCCCTGCTACTTTTTCGGACGCACGGAATCTCCAGCCACATACAATTGTCCATATTCTCGGAAACTTACGCGCGTTTCTGCATTGCAAGTCCATATATCCAGCAGTTTCGTCTCGCTCTCAACTCGAACCACTCCTATCTCATTAAACTGTACAGGTCACTTAATTAGCTATTAATTCTCTCTTACACTAACTAATCTTCTCAAAATATATAGAATAATCATTATAGTTCATTATATTTAACAGGTATTGAAGACGTCCTTCGTATGCCCGTTCCGCCCTCTTTGCCAGTTCAATTTTTCCCAACCAAGCACCAGAAGCTTCAAGATGGCTCCCGTACAGTGGCTATCATCGGGCTCTCCCGTGGCCGTCACGCCGCCCATAACCCCCCAACCCACATCGTCCTCCCCGACTGCGTCCCCCGCGTCGATTCCGCCGCCGCCGAGCTCTCCAAACGCCGTAGAAGCGACGCCACAGAGCCCGGAAGTCTCCAAACTGCCGTCGCCAGGCGGTCCTGACTCCATGGACTACAAAACGGTGACGTTCACAGTGTCACCGCCTCCTTTTAACCGACGAGGCAGCCGTGATATCAACCGCCCGCTATTTAGCGAGCGACAGCGCTTCACACCCACAGCGGACAAGCTCGTACTCGTCATGGTGGGTCTCCCCGCTCGCGGCAAGTCGTTTATCGCCAAGAAACTGTGGAAATTCTTCTGCTGGAAAGGCCTTAAGTGCGAAGTCTTCAACGTGGGGCAACTACGCCGAGCCAAAAGCTCTGGAGCCAAGCAGGATCACTCTTTCTTCGACCCAAACAACGCCAAAGCCAAAGAAGAGCGGGAGCTGCTCGCTCTCGAGTCCTTGAAGCAAGTGCAGCGCTGGTTTATCGGCGAGAATGGAGAGAAAGGGGGCGACGTGGCGGTCTTCGACGCCACAAACACCACCAAGATGAGGAGGAAAATGCTGCGCGATACCTTCAGCACCTTCGCCGCAGAGCACAAGACCAGCGTGCACGTGGTGTTTGTGGAGAGTATTTGCACCAGTGAGGCTGTGATCAACGCCAACGTCAAGCAGAAGGTCGAGAGCAGTCCAGACTACCGCAATATGCCCGAAGAAGAAGCGTTTGCCGACTTGAAGCAGAGGCTGAAGAACTATGAAGCAGCCTACGAAGCTCTGGAGGACGAGGAAGACTGCAGCTACATCAAACTGTTCGATATGCAGTCGAAAGTGCACGCCAAGGGCATCTACGGACATGTAGCCAAGTCCATCTTGCCTTACATGATGAGCTTCCACATCGAACACCGCCCCATCTGGCTGGTGCGTGCTGGCCACTGCACGGAAGTGCGTCGGGACTTTAAGGCTATTATCAAGGACCCGTGTGTGGCGCCACGCTCGGCCCACTTGAGTACACTCGGCGTGGACTTTGCCTATCGTCTAGGCGAGTTTGTGAAGCAGCGGACGATGGTGTGGATGGAGAACGAAGGCATCATGCCAGAGGATAACCCCACCGAGTGTCTCGTGATGACTTCCACGCTGCCTCGTGCTGTGCAGACTGCAGATTTCCTTCCTTGCGTCAAGCGGAGTACGTTCCCCAGAATATAGATTTTGAGAGGGTCTAGATTCTAATTTGTGTGTGTGTTGTTAATTTAGTGCAAATGGCGACTCTGAACCCGCTGGACAAGGGCGAATGCTACGGACTGACGATGGATCAGATGAAGGAGCAGATGCCAGAAGCGTTTGCTGCCTACGAGCAGGATCCGTGGCGTACGCGCTTCCCTGGGGGCGAGTCGTACCAAGATCTGATGTTGCGTCTGGAGCCAATTCTGATCGACATCGAGCAACACACGGGACCTGTGCTCGTGGTGTCCCATATCTCCACGCTGCAAGTACTTTACTCGTACTTCCTGGGCGTGCCCATTGAAAGCTGCCCGGCTCTGGAGATCCCCTTCCACTCGGTGCTCGAGCTCGTGCCCAACCAGGACGGCTGGACCAAAACTGTATTTAACATGCGCGTGTGAGGTGACAGCACCTTTCTCTCTCTCTTTATTCCCAAGTATAAACCCTTTGCAGGACCCCAAGAAGTCAACACGACATGATTCCACCGTCTTGTCTTACTTTTACTATGCTACATGGAGTTCGTGTAGGTCCCACGGAAGATTTGGTGCGTGTGTTCCAGTTCCCGTACACGCACTAGCGGTCGCTCTCCATCGCGAGGATTGTCGACTTCATCCAAGTGGCCGACGCCTTCCAGAACCACTTCAAAGTCTCGACCGTGTTGGACGTTGAAGCGGAAGCGGCTTTTGTATCGTTTACCACTTTGTCGCGGGTGAAACTCGACTTGAAGCTCCAGAGGAGCGTGCACGAGTGGGTGGGTGGTGGTTGCGCCTGCCAGCAGGTCTCTGATCGAGTCGGTGGTCGAGAGATATCCCCCCGCCGACTTGAGCGTCGTGGTGGGGCCTTGGAGCTCACCCGACAGCTGTGCGAAGGTGAAGACTCCAGGCTCATCGGTCAGGTGTGCGTGGTGTTGACGCATCTCTTGTTGTTGGGCTCGAGAGATTGGCTTGGGTCTTGGCACGTGTTGGATGGAGAAGAGTGCTGGGACAACTGTTGGGTTTGCAAGGCGTAGGATAATGGAACGGGAGGCTGAGAGATGCACTCGACCGAAGAAAAACACCGACGGAGACACCACAATGGCAGGGCGTAAGACAACCGCAGCGAGGCGAATAGTTTGCACCGATTTCGTTGCAAATTTGACACGCAATTCGCCGTCGACTCGAGCGTGTAAAGGTTGCTGCTGAACGAGTTTGGAGTTGGATTTCAATGTTGAGGACGTGGAAGAATCCGTCATCAATGACGCGGACGGTAAGAATCGGAGATCGATACGCACGGACATCTGTGGCGGCAACACGAACATGTAGGACTCGCCTTGAGCTGAAGGTCGTCGATGTGCTGCCGGGAGATCAGCCACGGACAGAGGGTGGCGTGGTGCTAAGGAATCGGCGTGTGCGACGGCAAATGGGCCTTCGCATTCCAGTCGGAACGTCACTCTGGACCCCAATCGGTTCACTAAGAAGAGCTCACGTCGATGGAAGAGATGCTGTGCTGCCGATGTGGTCATGAGTGTGGACCATGTCGTGAACTTGATATGATACGGAGCAAGAAGCTTCGGAAGGGAAACTGTCGGCGCTGAGCTGCTTTTCCGTGCCGTATTCCTTCCTGACAGAGGCGGCGGTGGTTGGAGATGCTCTCGCGGCTTGTCAATGAATAGTTCAGGCTCGATAACGTCGGCTGAAAGAAGCACACGAAGACACTTGGGACTGATAAAAGAGGCTGGACTACTCTCGATCACTGGACCTGGTTTCCGAGCCATCGCGTTGGCCATGCGCACAGCTGCAAACGCTTTGCCTGCAGCATGTGTCGGACTGTTGTTGTGTGTACCGGGACTCGAATCTTCTTGTCGGGGATCAACTTCTTCCACTCCTGAAGTGGACATGGTACTGCTTTCTGAATGCTGTACCTCAACACTGGTGTCGTACCAATGCGCATCTGCTAGCAACAGAACTCTCGGTGCTCCTACACAATCTTTCGGGGGATCAAAAGTAATCCGGAACGACGTCGTACTAAACGGTGGCACCATCGCTGACTGGGGCTCGACTGCAAACGGAAGTACAGCTTGACTACTGCTGTCGTCACAAGGCGTGATCCGTAGCTGCAACCGTGACCCAAAGTCCACACGCAGAGTTACAGTAACCAGTTGGTCTTCACGTCCATTCTCCACCAACTTCCACTTGAGACGAGCTCGTTGCGGGCCACGGTTCTCCACGCGTAAAGTCCTGGTGATCATCGGAGAACGCACACAGACGTCACCAAAATTCAGCGTCGGCTGTTGAAGAAGGACGTGCGTTCGTCCCTCCGGTACAGGTTTGCCAGCATACAAGCCCACGCAGTTGCGGTCTAGAGCGAGGGGAGTTCCTACTACCCGCACGCTGGCATGTAAGAGTACAGGAGGAGCCCCCGCTGCTCGACTTACAATGTCGTCGACATACGTGCCAGGCATGTTGCTAAAGCAAGTGACACGCACCAGCACTTGCTCCCACGGGAGAATGTGAACGCGAGCTGGAGAGAGGTGGAACGCCACTCCACGACCGTCACGTAATATCTGTCGGTCTTCGCCTTGACGGAGATACGCGCGTCCATTGTCGGATTGGTATCGATTGTCCTGGTCTTTGGCATCCGAAAGACGAGACTTGGTCAGTTTGTCGCTCGTCTTTGGGGAGTTTACTGTCTTGGACAGAGCCAGTTTGTGTCTCCGCTTGCTGTGACTTGGAGACGCCGTTGGAGAAGACGAATTGAACTCGGCACTTTCTTGTCGTGATAAGGTTGTCACGCTCGATGGTGCTGCTGCTGCTGGGAACTTCTTGGCTTCCAGGTCTACAAGCGCCTCGATGCCGCTGAAGTTTCGAATCAGAAGACACAGTTCTCGTCTCTCGCCAATAGGTAAACTGCCAAAGGCAAGCTTGGGGACACTACTCAAAGGGTTCGTCTCGGGTTCCAAGTCGCAGTCCGAGAGAGGAATCCCACGCTCCATGGCAATTTCCTTGGGAGATTTCGGCAACATCAAAGTGGAAGCTTCGATCGTTCGTCTTTCAACTGCAGATTGCTTCGGAGTCGGAGCTTGGACCAGGTCGTAGGAGAGTACGAGGCCTTTGTGGTTGCTGGTAACTTCGAAGCACAATGGAGCTGGCAAGCCACGTACACTACACGCCAGAGAAGTTGTGAAGCGACCGAGTTGTCTTGGCATATAGTTCAACGTCACCACAAGTCGCTCTTTCGAGTGGATTGTGCCCTGTTGAGGCGCAAATGTGATCGTGGAGGCTCGAGAGGTGCCTTCAGGTTCCACGAATTTGAATGTTGTCTCAAGGTTGGAGTCATTGACGAGCTCAATATTTCGGTGGATCTCCACGTCCATGTACGTTGTTCCCAGTGGCAACCGTGTCGTTGACAGGGACACGTTTGGACACTGAATCTCCGCACGTGCAGGCACTGCAGCACACGCGCCTTGCGTAGTAGAGCCGCCGAATTTCTGCTCGGGAGCTGCTTGGCACGTGAAAAAACCGCGGAAATACTCGGGATGGGACCCAGCCATGCATGTAGCCTTGACAGTGAAGGACTCGCCAGGTGCCAGCTGTCCATTCTCAGGTGCAAATGCAATAGTAGCACGCGAAGTGACAACGCTACTGCGGTCAGTCTCGTTGCCAGAACTCGAGACGACAGATTCCTTTGAGTCACTTGTAGCAGCATCTTCTAAGCGTAGAAATCTCCATTGTGTTGTAACAATACGAGACGGGTTCCGGATCGTGATAGAAGCCTCGGCACTCGCTCCAACAAGTACAAACCCAAAGTCAATCTTCGACGTGACAATTTCAATCTCTGCGCTAGCTACACAACCTTCGAGACGCAGCCAGCGCTCAAACCGTGGCGCTTCGGGACAGTTGGCGTCATTCGGAGTTACGATTCGGCAAGGGAGGCGGAGGGAGAAGGACCCCGTGCAAAGAGGCGTGAAGGTTAGGTCGATACGTTGCTGTCCCAAAGGCCCCAGCTCACCGGTTTGTGGACTTAAAGCTAAGTCGAAACTGGGAGGGTTGTCTGTAGTTGCCGATAGCATCGTCGATGCAGCACTCGCAGCCACGTGGAGTTGTTCTAACCGCTCGAGGTCCCAGCAGAAAGTAATGGGCACGTCGTTCTGGTTCTGAAGCACTACAGTAGTCGAGTACTTTATGTCCTGCTGTAACAATTGCTCGGATTCCCGTCCAGTATCCCCAGCCAGTTGTACGCTATCTTCTTCGAGAGGAATCCATGAATCATTGAGAGGTGGGGTGATCGTGAAGCTGCCAAGTCTCCCGCGTCCATGTAGCTGGATGGAGAGCCCTGGCACTTCATCTGTGAGTTTTCTTGCTGCTGCTTCGGCTGCATCTCGTGGACTCTGTGAAGGATCATCTTGTGTCAGGAACGCAGCCTTGAGATGCGCCATCTGACCCGGTCCAGGCATGCTACACGCCGGGATATCGTTGATCAGAAGAGTCGCCTGACACGCATAAGCACGAGCTTCAACAGGTAAAAACTCGACTCGAAACTCCTTCGACGACGACAGCGCGAACACACCGCTTTCTGGAGTGATACGATACGGCGGAGTCCACTCTGAATGAGGCACTTTCATGGCCTTTTCCTTGCTGTCGTCAGCTGCCAGTTCCTCATTTAAAGGCTCAATCCTCCAGCAATACTTGACGTCGATAGGAGTATCATTCGCAAGGACGATGGTCTGTTGAGCTCGAGCGTTCACGAGCACCTCGTCCGGGAAGAACAGTCGATCCAGTGCACCCATTTCCGCAGTAGTCGTGTCGATAGGCATATCGTTTACGTGTGTGGCTCCTACCTCCACCTGACAGCCACGTCCCACGATCTGGAATACTCGCACCAGGCAGTTATCACAGACCATAACGAAGCGCTCGCGTTGCTCACCGACTCTACACGGAGAATACACGAGATCCAGACTCGTACTTTCGCCCTTTTCCAGTTCAATGTCGTTAGGTGACAGTCGAAAGGGCCCAACGTCCATTGAAGCTCCAAGATCGAACTCGCCACCGAGCATCTCAACCGCAGAACGCGTCGGGTTTATTTCACTTGCCACCTGAAGATGTTCCAGTCGAGACCACGTGGACTCAGTCATGAGCCAGAATCGTCCTTTCCCGCCTAGATTTTTGCACACGAGCGACGTGAGTGAGCACCCACCGACGAACGTGTTGTGAGCACGAACCACCAGAGGCAACGTCAGCTCAGGAGGCTCGCGACGTCCCATGAGAGGGACAATTATCTGCGCTGAGCCAGCAGATCCTGGCGTTCCTGTTGACCCCCGAGCGACCGACTGTTTTGTTTCGTACTGCACAGTAAAGCTGTCCTTGTAGTCACCGCGAGAGTCGGGGGCGAAGCGTATACGCAGCTCTATGTGCATACCAGGAGCGACCATGCCACGCTCTGCTGGGAAAGCTACACTGGCCATGGAGAAGAATATCGTGCCAGGCGGAAGAATTCGAGCACAGCGAGATAAAACGCCAGTGTTGCGGACATACACGACTTGCTCGTAAATGCCACCGATCTCGTAGTCGGTGAATACGATCGGGGGCTTGGGAACAATGTCGAAGCTCGGCTTGGCGCTGGAGCTGCTCTCATTCCCCACGTTGGCGTTGCCGATTTTGCTCCGATCGGGCACAGCAAATCTCGGGTTCCGCACAAAGTCGAGTTTATTCTGCATTCGTTCGAGGATCGCCATGTTCTTTCGCTTGTCGACTGCATTCATTTTCTGCTTCTGCTCTGCTGGTGACGTCGCTTCATCCTGCTCTGGCTCCGCTGTCCCACCTGGGAGCGAGTCTTTTAATGGAGAAACTCTTGCAGCAGCTGCACGCTGTTCGGCGTGAGCAGTTTTGACTTGTGCAATGTGGTTTCTGTGCTGCTCCAGCGTCGCTTGGGTGCGTGTACAGGACGACGTTGTCGTGTCCAAGTATCCGATTTTCTCTTCGTTTGCACCAGCCACAGCTCGTCGCGTGGACGACAGAGCGACTTTCCTCACATTGCCGCTACTTTCCATCCGTCGTTGCTCATACTCAGCCACCAGCGTCTTCGCGTGCAGCAAGGAGTCAGCGAACTCACCAAAATCTGCCCCTTGGTCTCGACAGACCCTCAATTCGTGATCGTCTAGCCTCAAATAGGTCGGACCCACGGGAATCTGCGCCCTAATCACCAATCCACTTCGACTCAGCTGCTTGGCGACGCGAGTATCCGCGGCAGCAGCTTCTTGCTGCCTCAACTGCATGAACTTGAGTAAGCGTCTCGCCCGTTCGTGCTTCTTCTCCAGTTCTTGAGCAATAACGTCCTTCCGAGTCTGAGCAAGAGCCACAAAGGGACTCTCCGCTGTCTCCAGCTCGCCGTCCTTGCTGTTCGCTGTCTCCTGCTCTTCGTGTGGGGGCTCCTGCGGCTCCTGTGCCACCTCCGATTGCTCTGGTTGGCTCTCTGTAGCCTCATTTTCAGTACAGGCGTCGACTTGTTGCTTCGGAGCCTCGGGCGACTCGTAGAAGGTGTGGAAAGCGCGTCGAATCACATGCGCGACGGCTCCGACCGCCACGACGTCCAGCTCGTCCTCATCCTGCTGGTTTTTGAGCCTCTGAGCTTCGTCCTCGGCTTGTTTTTGCGCTCTCAACGCTGCTTCAGCCGCCGCTGCTTCACGCTCGAGAATTTCTGCTGCCAGAACGGCCTCGGCATTTAAAGCAACCGCAGTTGTTGACGCCTTCTTTGTGGCGGCTCCTGCCATTTCATGTGTCGCTTCAAGATCCTACTACGGTACTTGAGGCTTCTATTTGAGGTAATGACCTCATTGAAATCTTTGCTGCACTCAAACCGTAGTCCGAAGCCCAACTTGGGATTGGGGTAAAAAACATGCCAATGCCGAGTTTAGTGTTTTGAAAAGTGGGTGTTATTGAGGAGGGTCCTTACGTTCGCTGACTGCGGAACTTCTGCTTCTTCGTGAACTGCGACGGGTGTCCCTCCATGACATTCATTCTCGCCCTCGTCGGCGCTAAGCGTCGCTCCAAAAAGTGCTTGGCACTGGTGGACAATTCCCTCGTCCGTGTGTTCTCCAGCGACTCGAGTGTCTGCACCTGAATGTTGCCGAATTGTCTCGTGTGGGTCTTTTTCTCAATCAGTTTCGCCAGCTTGGCCTCCTCCACTGCACGCCTCTTCATCGCCCGCAGCTCCTCCGCTTGGTCCTCCTCCGTTTCTTCTTCATTGCGAGCAGCAACAACAGACAGCACGTCATCCGACAATTCCGGCACATCTTCCTCCGGTTTGGGCTCCTGCTTGCTCTTTCTCTTCCTGCTAACGTTGCAACAATTGCACCAATAAGTTCACGTAAACTATCGCTCCTTTGCATCCCATTGAAACACTGGACCCACCTCTTGGCCGCTGTAGCCTGGGCGCGGGCCTCTTCTTCCTGTCGCTGCTGTGTCAGAGCCTTCTCCGTCGCGCTCTGCTTGGTCACGACCTCGGGCGCCTCATCGCT